AGAAAGAAAGAAAGGAGAGAAGGGAGGGAGGGAGGGAGGGAGGGAGGAAGGAAGGAAGGGTCTGAGGGAAGTCCTGCTTTAGCACTTGGCCACCAGCAGCCCTGTTGCCCCTTTGCCATTCCCTGGTGGTCTCCCATCCTATTGCTGAGGATGCTTTGGTTACAAAGCCAGGTTTCCTCACATGGAGAGGGAGTGGGCCTCCCTCTGACCCACGCACTATGTCCTCCTGCACCCACCATGAGCAACCTGGCCAAGGAGAGTGAGCATAGCAGCAGCAGCATTGAGGAGGAGGTAAGTGCAGCTGGGCGCCCCCTCGGGGAAGTGCGGCTAGGCTAGGCAGGGCTATGGGGTCCTGATGCCGTGGGAGCTCAAGGGCCGGGCTGGGCACTTGACCTCTGCTGCCCAGGGCTCTGGGCAGTCCATGCCACTGTCCAGGGGCCCCGTGCACAGCCTGAGGCTCAGTGAGACTCCTCCAGTGGACCATGCCCTGGAGCTCGCCCCCGTCCCACCCATCCTTCCCCACCCTCGGATGCGCCTCATTCCTGCCCAGGCCCGCACAGGTGCCCGACATGAGTGACATGGAGCTGGCCACGCCCATGCCAGCCACACCCACCCGGCCCCCCAATGGCAACCACGATGCTGATGCGGCCCTCAATGAAATTGAGTTTGACACCCCTGTCTTAAGGAGATAGCATTTAACCCCTTAAATGCTACTTATATATATGCTCTGGCCAGATGGTTACATACTGGTCCAGCACAGTCTGGATCTTTTTTTCTTTGCATTTTAGCCACCTGTTATCTATTTCTCTTAAGAGAATACTCTTAACAGCTGCTGGTACTAAATAACTGTTACAATTTTGTGCCAGAGTTGTTTTTTTTTTAAAAAAAACTGTCCTAAAATGTTTTTGAAGACATGGCATTAATATATTACAGAAAACCTTATTTTCTTATTTTACTCCCAGTAGGCTGAGAACAAGTTACTTACTTCCCAAGTTGGTCTGGGTTTTTTTCAGAGACCTCCAGTCTCTGGAAATAAAAACTTTCTCTCATCCCAAGAAAAGGCTCTAAATAAACTAACTCAAAATCCAACAGGAACTTAGAATTGTTTGTTCTTGTTTCATAGGGTTTTATTTTGGCCTAAATTTTATGAATCACATTTCTTTGGAGGTTTTTTTTTCATTTTCTGTATACATTAAAAATGGACTTAGACCTCTGAAAGACAGGATATTTGAATAGCATCAATTAAAGACTCTGAGTCAAAGAGCTACTCCTCAATATAAATGTCAGAATACATTAACAAGATAACAGAAGCATCAGTTGCCACCCTTTCTGTGCTCCAATAGGACATTAGGGTAGACATTTTTGCTTGCCATTGTAAGCAGGTCATACATTGTTTCATATCTGAACTAGAGAAGACTCAGCTTATCCATTCCTTTCTGATTCAAAGAAATTTCTGAACAAATTATATTGCATTTGCATTTAGACACATATCAGATCTGGCAAGACAGGCAAAATGTCAGATTTGCCTGGCTCAGCTTGGGGGGGGGGCTTCACAGGAATCCTGCCATAAAAAAGAAGAAGGGAGAAAGAAGAGAGAAGGGTGAAAAGATAATAAAGCTTTGTCTTTACGTGACAGGAAATCAGGAGGAGGGAATGACAGGTGAGAAGGACCAGAGCAGCTGGATCCAGTTGGTACCAGCATCCCACAGCCAGGCACCGTGAGAAGTATGCGGATGTGGGATTTATTGTCTAGTTGAAATAAACCATCACCAGCCAAAACTAAGAGAAAACAATGGTAATTTATTTGTACTACTTTGCAAAGAAGATGTTCCTTGTGCATGCAAGCACACAGTGGACATACCTTAAATCTTCAATTCTTTATATTCTCCATTGCCATTACAAATTTACCTCCCATCTCTTCTTCATTGGCTTAGTAATCATGCTGTAATCATGCTGTCACAACCTATCCAAAGCTGCTAAAGTGAATACATTATCTCCACTCCTGATTACATCTCCCACTCCTCTAATTTGATCACCCCCTGCCCTTATTTACAAATTACCTTTTTGGCTGTTAGTTCCTAGGGGTTGTCTCTAGAGTTACTATCATATTAGTAAATTCTGGTTAAGACTGGTTTTCAGCATAGGCAGAGACCTTTCTAGATACAATTCTCAAGCTTCAGCTAGGCTCATGAGATTAAAATATATACAATGTATTTCTTCACAGGCTAGCTAGCATGTCTTCTGCAGTTTCTATAAAAACAATAGACCCTTTTCCCCACAAGGATTACCCCCAAATATCTCAAGAGTTCTCAAAATATCTTGGCAAGCTCCTGTTGGCTGGAAATGGACTGGTCATGGGGGAGGGGGGAGAGGAGAGATGGGCTGGGGACAAACTTACACCTTATTTTTGTATCCAGTGAGCATGAATTTCAGAGCTAACTTGACTTTACTGCAACTATCACTTTTAGTAAAAGAAACCTTTGATTTAACCAAATTGAGTCAAAAGCTTTTCTTCCTAAGGGATTGGATTGGGACAGGTCTCACCAAATTCATGAGAACATACAGTGGAAGGAACAGAATACCAGAGGCCAAAGAGGAAAAGGTGTATTTTGATTTACAGTAGCCCCAAAGCCACACATTATACTCTTACTCTACCATAGCAACTGACATGCAACAAGATCATAACTGTTCTGAGACAGGCCCTTTTCATTCTTCCTAACCACTCAAACTATGTGCAGGCTCTGTCTCCTTAAATCTATACCTTCTGTAGCTGCAGCTAGCACTAATCACCTGAGAACTTCATCCTGGTCAAGCCTTTTCTGGAACCGTGAACTGAGATGTGTTATAGTTCTGATCCAGATAGCATAAACTCCACCAACATGGTTTTAAAAGATATTTATTGTTCAGGAATTCTAAGCAGAGACTTACTTTGCAGTAGATACATCCGGTCATATTCATATCTGTCCATTCTCGTAGGTAAAAAGGGATAATTCCCCATCTCAGCTAGGCATGGTTACAGATGCCAATCGATGCGTGCATGATGCCTGATTAAACAAAGGCTTTTACAACCCTGGCACTAGCCAGGACATCCTGTGATAAACTTTGAAGCCCCTCCCACTGACTAGATAAAATATAACAAGACTACATTTCCCAGAGGCCATCTCTTAAGGAGACAGTGTTTAACCCTTTAAATGCTAAATGCTCTAACACAGTTTTCTAATCTAAACATATGCTGTGGCCAGAGTTACATACTGGTCCAGCACAAAGCCCTTTCAACTATCTTGTTAAATTATAATATGGAGCCTTTGAGAGTCCCCTGATCTTTTAGTATTGCAGATAAATATTGAAAACCTTGAGGCTTTTAAAAGAACCATCTTCACAGTTATTAAACTAAGGAAAGATATCAGTATAGTAAAGTTATTAATAAGTGCCTTAAGTCCATATTCCAACAATAAATAACCAGTTTCTTCTTTCCAACTGTTTGCCTCAAAGTTCAAATGCAATTGTGGGACAAAACTAATTCTACAATAGTTCAAATTTAATAATTAGAAGCAGCTGTACATAGGAAACCTAGCAGTCCTTAAATTATGTAAACCAAAATATCCTTCAGGATTAGAGGTAGCAAAAAACTACCAACTGTGATAATAGAAACAATCTATATCTTATCAGACAATTACAATTAGAAATGGATTTCTGATTTGACTCAAAGACCAATACTAGGTTCTGCACCAAGTCAGAAGCAGTCAAGCTATGCATGATCATAGAATTGCAGGACTGGAAGAAAGCTTGAAGGTTTTCTAGTCCAACCCCCCTAACTTTTAAAACCAATTTTAATTTAAAAATATGTTTTCATAAGTTCCATCCGTTTATCAGCTGTGTCTCAAAGTCCATGCCTTATAAGATAGATTAAACTTACAATATATTACCGTAAGTTCCTTATTTTTGGGCTACATAAAAATATGTAGGCTTCCCTCCTGTGGTGGGTTTTTTTGGAGAAGGGAAAAACGAAGTGATGTCTAAGTGAATTCATTCTAATTTCAAAGCATTTCTTTCAAAACCCTTATAGAAAAAAATTTCTGTCAGCTCAGAACACAGGTACCAGTATCAAGACAGTGATATATGTCTTCAACCACAGTTCAACCCTGAGCTTACAATATTCTATCGGTGCGATGATGCGCGCACTGTGTATAAGTAAAGATTTCCCGTGTCCAGTCTGTCAAAAGATTTCGAAAATAGAATTTATGGGCACTCCAAATGACAGTAAAAATACGCTCTAACGTTCCAAAATTAAAATAGATAGGCCGTGCTCATCTCCGTTTCTTAGCCGAGGGAGCCAGTGCTGTCCGAAGACACACACACAAAAGTATCTATTTTGATTTTGAAACATTACAACGCATTTTTACTGTCACTGGAGTGTCCGTAAATTCTATTTTTGAAATCTTCGAATATCCATTACTTTTTAGAAGAAAGGCAAGATCAAATGATCAAACACTTAAAAGCTCCCACGCCCATACAACACAAGGAAGTAGTTGGATATGCACGCCTTCTCACGTCTCCTGCGCGTCCCATCCGTCCTCCCCGCCCGGGCGTGGCTTCTTTTGGTGCACAAGGGAAGCAGAGGGCGATCGCGCCAAGTTAAAGGCCGCTTGGTAATGTGGGGCAAAAAACGGCTGCGGGGGTTTGATAGTAGGCGGGCGTTGGCAGCAGTCACGTGGCGGCGTCATCTGAGCCGGGTGGCGGGTTCGGAAGGTATTGCGTGGCGGCTGGGGCGGGTGAATTCCTACAGGGCGATCGCTGAAACAGAGAAGTGCGGGCCTTGCAGTCCTTGGTCGGGTGAGGAAAGGAGCTACTTGGGAAATGCGATCCGATGCTTTTTTTCTCCCTTCCCTCTTGGCATTCTTGGGATGTGTGTGGCGCTAATCCTAAATCGACCATTCTCGAAGGCTCCCAAGCTCTCTGTTCCCAAGAGGCCGAGCTGTTTTCTGTAATATACATTAATCGTAAATATTGTTGTTAAACATATATTGGCATTTAACATTGCTGAAATTCATAATTCGCAAAATTGATACCTACCGGTGGTTGTTAAGACACAATTTCCAGTTTGATGAGTGGAGAGAAAAGCTTTTATTTAATACACTCCTCAAATAGTTTACATCAAGAGTGCTTTCATAGTAAAGTAATAAATTTAAGGACCAATTCAAACATGCAAAAAACAGATGTAGATGTGATTGTGTAATGAAGTTTTAATATCGAGCATATTTATTACCAATAAATACTAATCTGAGTCATATGGTAATTTATATATAAATCCACACACAGTCGGTCAGAGCCTAAATATATCATCCCCTAAAACTATTAAATCAGGTTCTTCCCCCATTCCCTTGCCTGTCATCTCAGATTTCACCAGGCACTACACACCCAGTTTGAAACTATATGATGCCTTAGGGTTGTGAAGTGGGTTTGGCTGAGTCAGTGACTGCCCTAAAATCATCCAGCCGGCTTTCATGCTTAAATCAGGACTAGAATTTACAGTCTCCCCTATACTAAACTGATTCTTAATTACCCCAATTTCTGTTGGATGACAAATTCTGTCAAGCAAGATTGTTACAAAACCTGATCTTGCTGATAATTTTCATTCAAATGTGAAGAAAGGAAGAGGAGTATCAGTTATCTTTGACTCAATAGCAATATAGGAATAATTCTACTGAGCAAGTAGAAATAGCAGGAACATTAGACCAATATAATTTTAACATTTTTTATTTTAAGGAAAAATAAAAATGAATAATTATTAAACACATTTTGGGGACTTTTTATTAAAATAGCAGATTTTAATATATTTAGAGCAATGACAAGTAGGATTCTATGGCACAAAAACTAAAGGGCAAAAAAACAAGTTCAAATTTTCTGAGAATTTTGAAGCATAATTGTGAACTACTCCATTAGGGAAAAAATAATGGAGGACAGCAGAAATAGACCATGTAAAACGCTTAGTAAACATTCAAAAATAAAAAGGACAAATAAAACAAATAGAAAGATAGAAAAGTCACAAATAGAAATACAAATAGGCAACCTGTAACTATTGGAGTGATGTCAAGAAGGTAATACCCAGAATCATATGTTAACAAAGAATGCATAAAGTGACAAAATAGTATATTTAGATAAATTCAGAATTTCTTCAAAATCAATATGCTCTTCAGATTTTTTTTTTGTTAATAACTTATAAATAGATGGCTTCCGGTTTGAGTTCCTGTGCCGATGGCAGCTATTCTTTTGGCTGCCTGCCCCGAGGACGCGTAAAAGCCGCAGGAGCAGCGTCAAACAGCTGCTCCGCGGCTTGAATCCCCTTCCCCGGGCAAAGGGGAGGGGGGAGAGTTTCCCTGATAGGGGTAGAGCTCCTGAGCTCCCACAGTTTTATAGCTGTGGGGGTG